CAGGAAATCCTACCAATGGCTGGAAAAAGGCCCTCATCCTGGCTGAACAGGAACAGGCCCTAAACACCAGAGCAATAGAGGCTCAGATCTACCACACCAGACAAGACCCAAGGTGTAGGTTGTGCAAAGAGGCCTCTGAGACAGTCCAGCACATAACAGCAGGGTGCAAGATGCTGGCAGGGAAAGCGTACATGGAACAACATGACCAAGTGGCAGGCATAGTGTACAGGAACATCTGTGCAGAATATGGACTGGAAGTCCCGAGGTCAAAGTGGGGGACACCCCCAAAGGTGGTGGAGAATCTAAGAGCTAAGATCCTGTGGGACTTCCAGATCCAGACAGACAAGATAGTAATGGCGAACCATGCGGACATTGTGGTGGTGGATAAAGAACAGAGGAAAGCCGTTGTGGTGGATGTAGCAATACCAAGTGACTACAACATCAGGAAAAAGGAGCACGAGAAACTGGAGAAATACCAGGGCCTCAGAGAGGAACTGGAGAAGGCCTGGAAGGTGAAGACCACAGTGGTGCCTGTGGTTATCGGGGCCCTCGGGGCAGTCACCCTCAAACTGGAGCAGTGGCTAAAACAGATCCCAGGAACAACATCAGACATCTCAGTCCAGAAATGGAGGAGAACCCTCAAGCTCCCAGGCCTCTGGTAGAGGACCCGAGCTCAGAGGATGAAAGAGACCACCCACGGAGGGTGAGAGGGGAATTTTTTTTTTTTTATATATATGTATATGTATATATATATATATATATATGTATATGTATAAATGATAAAAGTTTCATACTTCAGCTTTAAGGGTCACATGACCCACCTGAAACCCACCAGTTGTTATAGCAACATGCTAGCAGACTACCAAAAGAGAAAAAAACTGCAGTCATGTTCTTGGACACACTTTACAGATAATTAATCCAGCCTCACCCTGCTATTGTTCACTATGTCTGTAGAGTCTGCTGCAGCCTCTCCGGGCGGCTTGGTGACTCATGTCGATGTCTCTACATGTGTCCACGCTGTCTGTTAACTGAAGTTGTCAAGTTGACACTGAGACTGTTTTATCAGTGACTCACTCACTCCTCAGCCAGAAACCCCGAGCACTTCTCCATCCTCCCCCTCTTCCTGACAGAGTGACTTAAGGTGCTGTTTAGAAGTAAATGCAAGCAATGCTCCTCCAGATTAAATGTCAGGAGAAAGTCTTCGAACAATAGATCTGCATGTCCAAATATCAGGTTAAAGAAAGACTCCTGCCCACACAACATTATAACTTATAGACGGAAATAAAAGAAGGTGAACGTTAAACTGTTTGTTTAATTAAATGAAATAAATTTTAGGTCAGTTACCTGCATGCAGAGCCTATTGAATTAATCAGGATTTCATTATGGGTATTACTTTCAGCATTTTGACACATTAACTCAACCTCTCAACTGTAAAATACCTGCTAAAAATCCAAAATAAATCATTTAACCATCAAATTCAAGAAGAAAACACTTTCGTAAAGTTTCGTGTAATAAATATAGAAACATCAGAATTAAAGAAGAGTAATAATTCTGTACATATTGGCATTCAGTGATTTGGAGGCAACAGATATTCAGCTCTAAACCTCCACCGTTGGATCCTTCCTCTCCAGAAACACTGGAGTCATTGTTGTTTCCTGAACAACAAGCCTCATTAAACAGTGTTGCAGTCCTTCAGTAGAAGCAGCTCCATCTTCTTCATCGCCCCATCTGAGCTTTTTCCTCCAAACTGCTGATAAATTTCTCAAATCTGTGCTGAAATCCTCACAACTTCCTTGTGTATTCAGCCTTAGTTGTTTAAGGTTTGACTTACCCTGATTATGTCACAACATGGCGCCGCCGTTTGACCCAGTTCCCACAGACGAAAACAGCAACACTCTGCATTTATAGTATTCTGTGAAAAATATTTATTAAAAGCTTCTGTGTACACAGAAAGAAAGCACAGTAATTGATCTTTTTAAATCATGTCAGTGGTTTTATCATATCAGTGACACTTAAAAGCTGTTAGTATGTCATGACAGTATATGATGAGAAAGATAACTTATGAAAAATGTCAACGTCCTCCTCCTCCCTGTGGTTCTACTGCTATCTTCAGGAATACACTGCTCCTGGTCAGAAACAACCAGTCAGAGTCAGGAGGATGGTGTTAGTGATGTCAATCCTGCTTGTGTACGCTCTATTATTATTTAAGTTGTTCATTTTCTTTCTAAAGTGTTTCAATGCAAAACAAAGCATGTGAAACAGAAACTTTACAATCACTGGAAAACATGCAAACAGTTCTCTTGCTCTGGATTTACCAATTGTGGATAATAAAGACTGAAGCTTGTTTGTCTTGCTTTGTAAATGAACTTCTTATTTGACACAGTGAAGGAAAACACTCCAGCTGGAGACAAAAAACTGACCACCATCTTTACTTTGGTTCTGTTGCTTACTTCCCCTCCTTGCAGCAATTGACCTGATCAACAACCTCCTGCAGGTGAAGATGAGGAAGAGGTACAGTGTGGACAAGACTCTCAGTCACCCCTGGTTACAGGTAGGAAACACATTTCAAACTTTTACAGTGATCATTTAACAAAAAAAATAAAAAAAAATAGATGGGGTTATTATCGTTCTGTATTTTTTGTTTGGGTGTTGCTGTGTGTTTATGGGTGAGTTTAATTATATGTAACTTGCTATATTGTTTCAACTTGTCCAATTAAAAACTTCAAAAGACAATAGCTGAACTGTACAGTGAAATAAATTGGTACTACACTGAGTTTACAACACACTATTGTGCTGTTTAAACTAAACAACAAAGCTTTTATGAAACATTTTTCTAATAACATGTCCAGTTTTCAATGAACAGAAGAAGAGCTGCTCTGCCAGTACAGAACCTGACATAATCCACTAGTGGACAGTTTGTCTGTTTTACCTGCAGACCCATTTTCATGATAAGGATTGTAGAATTGTGTGTGTTTTGGTGATAGAAATACAAATTACACTTGTCTTCAATGTTTGTGCATTATTTAGTGTTTTATTTATTTATTTATTTATTTATTTATTTATTTGATGTTTTAAAAAAAGTATGCAGTTGATAATGTGATGTATTTTTTTAGATATATTTTAGAAAATCAGATCATTAAGCTTTTACATGAAAACAGTTCATGTCATATTCAAAGTAAAACACCCAGAGGCAGTTTTAACAACTATGTAAACATATTTTTATAAAAGTCACATATTTCAGCTACAAAGTGAAAGCTCTGACTGAAGGAGAAAAGACCAACGAGTCAGTTCATCTTGAATTGAGGCCTCATAACTGACAACAACGGCACTTAGCTGTTAATGTAAACCACAAAACGGCCATCCATTAATAGCCCAGATAGTCCAGCAGGCCTGCTATGTGTCAGTTATGACTTTATTGTTGTTTTTTTTTTCCTTTGATATTCCAAAATATTCATTTCTAACTCATAGAAGTGTGGAAATGACACTTTAAGCTGAACAACTTTATTTGTATAAAATGAACTCATCTTCCTCTGATATTATCAAAAAACAGTTTACAGTCTTTATCCATTGAATGTTTACAGAAACTCATTAAAGTGCACACTTCATCTTTCCATCTCATCACATTCACTTCTATTTCCACTAATACACAAAAATATAGATTTTTATTCCACCCATTGTTATTTTAATTGCTCTATGACAAAAGATCAAATTAGTTTTAAATCATTTAATCTTAAGGTGTGTTTTTTTTCTCTCAGGATTATCAGATGTGGCTGGACCTGAGGAATTTAGAGGGTCGAATGAACGAGCGGTACATCACCCACGAGAGCGATGACCTTCGTTGGCTCCATCACGCTCAGCTCAGCGGCCTTGACTACCCCTCGAATTTCATGAATGGTCCTCTTAACGACGTTGATCCAGGGATGGAGCGCTACCATGAGCAGGAGGAGGAGCTGGAGACCCTCAGTGAGAGGGTCAGTGAACTCTGAGGACAGCGTCGCAAAGTAACACAAACCAGAAGAAGGAAGTCTGAACTTTTTCTGGAGGAGCAGTATTAAACATTTACAAATATTTTTCAAGCAGGTATTACATTTCATTTCATTCAAATCGGCTTCTTTTCTATGAAAACAGCTGCAGGTTTACTAATCTGCACACCGGCAGTGCGCGCTGACACCTCCAAGTTAAATGTTCCTGTTCCTGTCAAACACTGACTGGAGGCTTTCTGTGTGGAGTTTGCATGTCTTTCCTGCAGCTTTTCTTGTATCTGACTTTTGCTTCTGTCTTCATTCCTAAAACATACATGTTGCTCTTACTAGAAATGATAAACTTAAACATTAGCAGGCTTCTGTTTCTGGTTTCCCCCATGGCTCATAAAAAGTTCGGGTTCCAATCGGTTGTGACCCTTTGAAGGAGTCAGCTCATTAGAATTGAAGGCCTCATGATTAGGCTTGAGTAAATTCAAAATAAAAATTATTATAGATATACCTTTTTTGTATCTTTCCTGTTAACCGTAACAGAGGCGGAGCAATTAAAAAGAAATTGGAAGTGCATGACCTCAAGCTTCTCAACATATCAGACTGAAAAAAAAATCTCCCTTGCAGATTTCTGTTTATTGTCACTCTTAAATGTTTCTGTGAGCTTTTTGTTTTTTGGGGGGGGGTTTTTGTTAACCCTCTTGCGGTCTTAAGATGCAACCCATCCTGTCATGATCTGAACATATTCAAGAACAGATCAAACATTCTTATTGGTTTTTTTCAGTCTGGGTTCCAAAACTATTTCTAAGGATGCGTTCACACCAATACTGTTCAGTCCGCTTTAATCAAACTCCAGTCTTGTTTAGAAAGTCCGGTTCATTTGCGGAGGTGTGAAAGCATAATAAAACTGATGTGGACCAAAGAAGCAAAGTCTGCAGAAGCCTTGACTCAGTTGCAGTGAACTCTGATGAGGTTTGAATGCATATGTGAATGTCCAAAGAAGCAGACTTTAGCACATGGGATTCTGGGTACAGACAACCAAAACAAACGCAAGTCTAGCGATAAAGAGAAATCCTACAAACATTGAAATCTGATGGCACTCCATTGTGGTTTACATTTCCTGAACAAGTACATTGTACTCAGTGTCTTCTTCATAAGTTGGTGGAGCGCCACCAAACGTGAGGAGGTGATCAGGTTTTTCAAAGGGTTTAGTTGGTTTGACACGGTGCAGTGTGAAAGCAAACCACACCAACTGGAAATGGAACAAATGCAGCAATTTTGGTCCCCAATCAAGTTTACCAGACTGTCGGGTGTGAAAACACCCTAAGGCTTTGTGACTCCAGCGGACTACAGTGAGAGACAATATGCACAGAGAAAACACCTCGTGCATATTGATGCCAACTCATCCAGGAGATCTCTATCTTCCCAGAACAATCTGCTAATCAGGGGTTTTCAAAGTACGGCAGAGCTAGTTGCCTGTCAGAGGGCAAATCGACAACCTCCAAATTCCCATCACCACCAACTACATTGTTGCTATTATTTCTGTTTGGGTTTTTTTCTGTCGCTATTCTTGATGTTTCATTCATAGATGTTTACTCTACACTTTGAAAAACCCTGATGTAAAGTATTGCAGGTTTGACTTGTCTAGTTAATCCAGCCTGTCAGCAGCAAGTCCAACTCTAATGGCTCAAAAAGACAACAAAACAAAATAAATATTTTTCAGTGGCCAAGTTAAAGATAAACAGCTAAAACCAATTGTGAGGCTGTTGCTCAATCTGATTTGCTTGTTAAATCAGGGTGACTCCACATGTGAATGTGGTCGTTCACATTTCTAAATATTATGTGACTTGTGTGTGACCTCCTGTGTGAACTTCAAATGATCTGACAGTGTCCCGCATGCATAGTAGAGGGCGCAAGGTTGTGCATGTAGTGAGCATGCTCAGAGTTTTGCCATAAAAAATAAGTAGTCAGCGTTAGCTGAAGTAAACATGGATGCTAACGACGGAGCGTACCTTATGATTTTAAAGTTGTTATCTAACTGGAGCAGCAGATTAACAACTTAATCCTCATCATGGTCCACCATGGTTGTTGTTTTTCTTCCTGCTATCAGGATACAGAATGGTGACATTTGTCAAGTATCAATGACGTCCAGGTGGGATGAATGTGACCTGCTGTACAGACTCAGGTCACATATGAAAAGATGGAATACGTATCAGATTTAGAACCACATATTCAAGTGGCCTGGGGAGCATTCAAAAAAATCCAACCTGTGTTGTTCACACTGTCATGAAAAGACCAGGTACATGTTGCACTACGGTTAAAAAAAAAAAAAAAATAGATTCGAGTCACTTCAAGCTGAATGTGAACGCAGCCATAGACATTTTCAACAGTTTATTTAAACAAATATATATATATTTTTTTATAAAAGTCACATTCTGCAGCTTTGATCTCTGCCGTCTCCAGCCTGCGTCAGTCAGTGTGTGTGACAGCACCACCATGGCTCATCACTGCCTCGCCGGCAATGTGTAAATTTAGCAATTTTGACCATTAAAATGTTTATTTATAAATTTTATCAAGTTGACAAATTGATTTTTTTTTTTTAATCATTTTTAGTGTTTTACATGACATGATGTCATGATGTACTGCCTCGTCTGCCTCTCCAGACATCTGGACATCACACTTTCTTTATCTAAGAATAGAGAAAGTGACTTTAGCTGCTTTCTTCTGCAGTGCCTCTTTTTGAACTTTAACCTTACACAGGCACCATTGAAGTCAGTCTAAAAGCAGCGTAACAGGCTGCCTTCCCATTCATCTCTTATTGTACTTCAACAGATTTATATGATAAGACTGTGGTAGATGCAAAGGAACCAATCAGCTGTGACTGTGTGCTCTAAGAGCAGGAAAACCTCTGAACTGACCTGAACTCTAGGTTGTGTTGTATCAGATTATTCTACAATGTAAAGCTGCTTTGAGGTTGAAGAAAAAGTTAGTGTCTACCCTGACTGCACATCACTGAGTCACTGCCGTCTTTGTGCAGTTAACAGAGTTCACTGTAGATAATGTAATATTAGATTTACACAACTGCTCCTGTGACCTGAAGGCAACCTGACTGTTTGGCACAGACTTGCCGTCAGTCATCTGTTGGAGAAAATCTACAGAGCCCTCTGGTGGCTGGTGTGAAAAATTAAAATTGAACAAATGACTGAAGTTACTGTAAGAGAGGGCTTTTAACCAGAGACATTTCCTGACCAGAGCTTTGTGTTATTCTGATGTCAGCGTTAACACTCTGCTGAAAATAACAATCACTCAGTTTCAATCAGTTTGAGATCAAAGAGCAAGATCAAAAAATGGACAGATGATATTTGTGAGAGATATCACAAATATAAGGGCAGAAACATGGTTTAGAGTCCAAGTGGTTCATGTTTAGGCAGGACTGTTTTAAGTTCTGTGAAATTTATAGCAGAATTATTTATGGATTGAATAAACAACAGCAACTGGTTTCAAAAGTTGCACTTTCTAGTTGACATTTTGGAGGTTAAAAAAGTATTTTATATAGTCTATAACTTACACGGCATTTGTTTACCACTGATGGTAATTATTTCCACAGCTAAAGATTAACCAAAAATATTGTGTTGGAACAATCAATCTCCCTTCATTTGCTGGGTTCATGTGGCTGCATCAGATGATTTGTTAAATGTCAGTCGGTGTTCTTATCAGACTTCACCACCCCGCCCTCCCACCAACCCCACCCCTACAATCCTGCAAGGATAAGCATGGATGGATGGATGGATTTTTGAGTTTTCAAGTGGAGTCCTAAACACTAGTTGCTCTGTAAATAATTGTTTGACAAAGTGTCTAAGGTCTACATTTCTGTTTTTCTTTTTCTTTTTTTGCCAGTTACTGTTAACTGAAGCTTCTTAAGGTGCATGTTTCTCCTTGTTTGGTGAACTGATCAATGAATCTCGAAATGCCTTTATTCATAATTGTGAATTAATTTGCTGTTTGAAGAAATGCTCAGTGTCATACTTGTTTTTATAATTATAAAAATCTTTTCATATCTGGGACTGAAAACCGTCCAGAGTGTACTCCACCCCTCTCCCTTATTCATACCCTCCTCTTCCCAGGCAACAGGATGGATGGATGTTTTTTCTGCAACTGGAAAATAGCAGTAAATTACTCTTAACTCTTTCATTTCACATTAAAAAAGACAACACAATGTCTCTATCATAAGTTATGTTGACTGCTGCTTATAGCTCTTATAATGTGTTTGTGGAATGAGTGGTAATTAATTATTTTAAATGTTTTTTGTTTTTGTTTTTGTTTTTTTGCAGTGTGTTTTAAATTCGCTGCAATTTATTATCTTGAACTTCATTTTATTTGTTTATTTTACAAAATTAAATGATGACAAAGTTAATTGTGGTCATTAGTATATGTTTTTATATAAGGACACTCAAAAACACCCCATTGCTCCTTAACTGTGCTGTCACATCTTTGCTAACCTGAATATAGGAGTGCTGTCAGAATATTTGTTCTCTTGCATTTTTCTTCTGTTTTTGCTTTTTTCACACCTAAATGTTTTACTACCAGACAACGATAACTAAAGATAACAGAGATTTTACTGTCCTGGTTTGGGGTTTGTTGTTGTCTGTGTGATATTTTCCTTTCCACTGAGCTGCAGCTTCCACCTCTAGGGGTTAAATCAATCAGACTACACCTGCTGCACCCTCTCCCAGTCTCTGCTACCTCAGGTTTATTCCAAGTCTTCTGTGATTATCTTTAAATATGTTTCCCCCTCAAATAACTACCTGTGTTTTTTTCTATTTGCTCCATGATCCATTCAAAGTCAACAATTTAAAAAAAAAGAAAAAGAAAAATCAGAGCAACCATTAGGAATACTAAACAATATCCTCTCCTGGATGACTCAGTGGTTCTTCACGGCAGCCCTTTTCCTCCTTCCTGTCAGCTCACCTACACTTCCTGTCCTCCAACGCCCAGTGGATTCCTGCTAACTCCTAAGGAAAAGAGCAGAATGGTAAATGAACTGAACTTAAAGCACTTTCATTATCTAGAGTTGTTCTATAGCCACATTATTCCTAAAGTTCTGCTAAGGTTGATTTTATATGTGTGTTGTGTTGAGGTTAGTATTGATGTCATCAACCCCTGCAGGTACAACACGACTGTCTCATCTGTTGGGCTAAAACTTTATTGAAATTTCTAAGAGTATTTTACAAATAATAGTATTCATAGAAACCTATCAATAACCTGGATATTTCTTTAGGGCAACACTGAAAGAGGCATTTATGTGAAGAAACTGTTCAATTTGTCCTAGTTGATTCAAAAATGCAAACAAAAGCTTTTTTTTTTTTTTTTTTTACTTAAACCAGATAAATCAGTTTATGGAATTATGAAATACTTAAACCTTTGGGAGAACCTACTTCCAGTGAAACATCTGGTCACAGTATTCCAACACCACTGCTGCTGCGTTCTCCATTAACTCCCGGTCAAATGATGACCTGCACCTCAACCATCAGCCACTGCAGACAGACAACAGCAGCAGCCACTCCCCACATGGCTGCAAAGATCAGGCGTGTTTGGAAAAAAGAATAAAAGCCGTTCATGTCCATCATTACATGTCAGAACATTAAATTAAACCCAAGGATTCTTAAAGTGTTTCCTCATAAAGTTTCAATAAAACCGTCTCCAACAATTAGTCAGACTAAAGATGATTACATTTATTTTATTTCTGACTCCTTAAAAGTGACATAATTACAGACAGGAGTAATTAAAATATGTTGTATTGAGCTTCCAAGAGTATTTAAATGCAGACGCATCATTAATTTACTAACTAGAAGTCCTGAATGGAAAGTTTTAAGTGTAGCTTTAATCAAATAGACGTTAGACAATATTTCTACTGTAAATGAAAAACTTGTAAATGAAGATGTATCCTCAACAGTAACAAATAAATCCCTGTCTATTATTCTCAATCCTGTCATATGTGACCTTTGTTTTTTATTTTATTTTTTTTTATATATATTTTTTTAGTGTTCTTCATTTAATCTGTTAGGATCCACATTTTTTCAGTGGTTCACACAACACAGGATTAACATTAGTAAAATAGTTTTTCAGACATTAAATTTAAAAAAACATCAAAACAAACAACAGTAAAAAGAAAAAAAAAACCTGCAGGTAAATCATTCATTTTTTATGGACTGCATGCTGCACAACAGCAGATGAAGATGCTCACTGAGCTGCCGGTGACTTCCATCTGCCTCCTCTCTCCCTCTGCATCACTTTTCTGACTCTGCGCTCCTCTCTGCATATGTTTCCAAAATGCTTTGTCTGCCTGGTGGCTTCATGGCAAACAGGAGATCTACAGGAAGTCACTGGTAATGTAGAAATTTAAAATCATTCATTTTTAGGCATCTTTGTAAATGTATTTATTAATTTATTTTTGGCTATTTTTCCATTTTTTTGTTCTCAAAATTTACTATTACAAAAGCAGAAATAATTCATCTTTTCCCGACATGAAATAATTGCTGCTTTTACGGGTGAGTTATTTCTTTATTTTTACACTGCCACTAGATGGCGCCACATGAGAGCCAACTAACGTTTGAGACTGTTGCTTCAGTTGCTTATGATGAATGTGTGCGTGCGTGTGTTTTATCCTTTTCCTTTTTTAAAGCATGTGCATATTTTTGTGTTTTTGTGCCTTCCAGAGCGCTTTGTGTCAGGTTTGTGTTGCTTATTCCTGTCTTTGTCGTGTACATTGTCATGTGGATCCCTGTGTGGAGATTTTCTGTGTTGTTTTGTTGTTGTGTGTTTGTTGCCACCGAAAGCGCCTCCCAACACCTACCGCAGTGCTTGTTGGGACACCGGGGGCCACATGAGCACGAACACACACATTTAAGAAACAGCAGACAACAAAAACAAACAAGCCTCCCTATATGCCAATTAAAAAACACAGAGATGGAGGGAGAGAAGGAGGCGGCTTTAAGACAAAAACAGAAATATTTTTTTAGAGACTGCGAGAAGCTAATTACAAGCAAACGACAATTAACAGTCTGAAATCCTCCAACTATTTGATCAGAAACATGAAATGACAAACTGTACAACGTGTAAAATCCAACTGCGAGCAGTTAATTCAGGTTTTCTTCTGCTGCAAAGCACACATTGTTACCTGGGCTTCATGCTTTCACACACACACACACACACACACACATGCACACACGCACACAAACCAAAGCAGTGAAACCTGTCACGTGTGTAAATGAGCTGTCAAGTCAAAGCAGCTGCAGGAAAACTGAACTGAATCCTCTTTGTCTCGTTCTGCAGGGACGGTGTGTGTCTGCAGATCCACCAACATGTTACATGACACGCTGCATTGCTATTGTTTTTATATTTGTCAGCTAAACAAGTGAATTCATTAGAATTTTAAATCAGTTTCCCGGCATCAGCTCTTTATTGTTTGCTAATGTTCTGTTCTGGCAGGATGAACACAGCTGATACTTATTATTTTATCCTGATTATCTTTACTAATATTTGGAAATTAACTGGAATTTACCACAATAAATGATCAACAGTAAAACATCTAAAGCAATTATTATGTGTTGAATGCATATTATTCTTTCAAGTAATTGTTTGTTACATTACATTTTTGTGTAATATTAACTTCACTTTACATTTATGAGTTTTACCTGTTATTAGGCAAACATTTTAGGACATTAAAACACTATAATTTTTTATTGACAGTTCTTATTCAGTGACCCACATTTCAGGTTTTTTTAAACAGAAATATAATATTCCATGTCTTACGTGTTTCCAGCAGAATCCTGCTCTGTCTGTTGTGTCGGCCCGTTTGTTTCTCCTGTTTTCTTGTAGGAGAAAGAAGCTTCAGTCTGTTCGCTCGGCGGGAAACAGTCTTTGTGTTTCGATTCTCTTTAACAATCCGTTTGCTGTAGCAGCCACCAAACAATGAGGAAAAACCACATACAGCAGCTTGTCAGATGTTTGATTGCATGGCGGATGAATCCAGCAGCCTAAAATAAACAAAGAGAAACTTCAGGTGGGACAAAACAAGATCCGTAAAGCTTCATCACCGAGAATGATCCCATAGACTGGCCAGGAAATCACATTTCCTGTCAAATAGAGAAGGAAAATTCACTGCAGAAAGAATTTATGCTCTGTATACCCATTTGATAAATGAAAATAATACTGGAAAGTCCATTTATTTAATGACATAAATGAACTTTGTGAGACACATTATGCACATAAATTTGACAGCCTTTATTTCTGTTCATATAGATTATTTTTGAACAGTTCATGTGGATTTATTATCACATTTAAAATTTTAATATTACATGAGGCAACTAAAGAAAAAAACTTAAAACAGAAATGTGGGTTTAATAAAACATAAATTTAATACCTGCTTAAAGGTTGTTATTTTCAAAAGGTAATTTTATTCTGATGAAAGGAAACTCATGTGTACTGGTAATTTATTGAATATGACTGTATATATGATCTCAGTGTAAATAAAACATGCAAAACCATTCCAGAGATATTTTTAGATGTCATGGGTATTTTAATGTTCTATAATATCCTAATGTTGTGAGTTGAATTAAATTTGAATTTAAAAAGTTTAAAGTGGGGCAAAAGTTAGACGGTAACTTCCTGTTTGCTTATTTATTAAAAATGTTTTTATGATCTACAGAATATTTACATGTAAATATTTAAAAATCAATAGTTAACCCTGCTTAATTATTAATTAAGTCTAAAATAAACATGCCAGTTTTTAAATGTAGAAATAAAATTCAATTTTAATATATTCCTAATTTTATTCTGTCTCGTTGACATTCTTCCTTTGCTTCTGTATTTTTACATTCATTTACTGAGTTTGTACAATAATAATTCTACACTTTGGATACACTTTATTTGATGACTGTGTTGTTATTTTCTTGTCATCCAAATTTGTATGTTTATTTCAGATCTATATTTTCACATTAGCATCTTGTAGCTATATATTGTTTTGCTTTTTATTCATATTTAGATTTTTTGTGTGAAGTTACATGAGCTTTTGAATCAACGGCAGCCTAAAATAAAAAGCTGTGCGGTGCAGAGCTCCAAAACGACAGAACAGATGAAACATCAGAGACTAAAACAAAACCTCCACGTTTAGGGATGAATCCGAAGCTGTTTTACCTCTGCTGCATAAAGAAGCTATACAATGTGATTAACTTTTATATTATACATTTATATGCTTAACATTATTGTTGTTATTATTATTATTATTATTATTATTATTATTATTATTATTATTATTATTTATTATTATTATTATTTATTATTAATATTGTTGTTATACGTTTTTTAAATTAAAGACAATTTAGTTAAATATGAGTAAAATGTTCAAAAGTAAAATAGTTTCTGTTTACATCTGTTTAAATGTATGAAAACAGTTTGCTGCTGTGTTTCATATTTTGCCATATTTCTTTATTTAGTTTGAGCTCCTTGTTTGCTGTATTAATTC